TGCCAAAGGTGAAGGGAGCTTCGATGCACATGCATCTTATCTCAGACAAACAATTTATGGAGGGACTAAGGTGACTCAACTTACGGTGGCGAATACTCTTGAAGAATATGTCGTAGTGTTATCGTTCAAGTTGTCATAATGGAAGTCAGGCATAGTGGATATTATGCTCGGGGTAGAGGCCCAAAATCCGGATAATGACATATCAAACCATCAGCCAAGTCGCTAAATTTCCAGAACTACTAGGCAATAAACTATCTTAGAGTTGCGTTTCATCCGTATATGACTCGAAAGCAACCAGAGAAAGGTGATCGTCGAAGGAGCAAACATAATCAGAGGTGGCAAAGGCCCTGCAATGTGCTGGCAGAGGTCAATGAGTTTCTTATCAAGATAGTTGCAAATGGGGGACTTTGGGTCGATGCAGGAGGGCTCGATCAAGAAACGGAGTAGGTAGTATACGGTACTTATCATTTTTGCTCAAACGAGTAGGTGATAAAAATAATGGAGAAGGTTATACACGGTGATTTCAATAGGTGCTCGGGCGAGGCGAGGCGAGGCCCGAGCGCCTCGCTTCACTTCCAAGCGGCACGCTTCAAAGAGGCACCGCCTGAGCGCTCGCCCGAGCCCAGGCGTCGAGCGCTTCGGGCGAGTGCCTGGGTTTAAACTAGGCGACCGAACCAACGTTTTAGGTCTGGTTCGGTCTTCGGTGCTTTAGTTGGTTCAATCGAACCAACTAAAGCACCGATATCAGCTGTCGTTGCCCAACCGTAACCCTGCTCGCGTTCACGCTACCGTTGTTGTTGCTCACTACTGCTGTCGCTGCTCCTGCTGCCGCTGCTCGTTGCCACTGTCGCCGCTGCCACTGCCGCTCTCGCTGCCGTTGCTCGCTATCGCTGTTGCTATCATCGCTCCCGCTCCCGTTGTCGCTGCCGTTGCCGTATGTCGTCGCTCGCCGCTCTCGCTGCCGCTGCTCACTTTTACCGCTGTCGCTACACCCTCGGTCTTCCCTTACACTCCTCTTCCTTCTCTTTCGAAAGTATATTATTAACGGTATACTGAATACTGTTAACAGTATACATTATATTAGTAACAGTAATGTATTTGTATTTATTAGATTAATGATATATTATTTTGATTTTAATACTATTAAATAATTATATTTATTAATTATATTATATATTTTAATATTTTAGCGCCTCGCTTCGCTCGGGCGAGCGCCTAGCGCCTCAGGCGTTTTTGGACTTTGGTGCCTTTTGGCACCTAGCACTTTTTAAATCATTGGTTGTACAATCCCAGAGGCAACCAAAACGTATTAAAGATTTGCTCCAAGTCAGGGTGAAATTTTATTTTTTTTGGGCAAAACTTCTTGCATTCCATAAGTTTAATGATAATGAGAAGGCAAATCACGGTAACTAACTCAGTTTAAAGAGTGTAAACATTTCAGGTGCTTCAGAAGTGCGAGCAAAGAGCAGGTGAAGGCTATAACCGGCTTGATGCATGAAGTATAACTCTCAAGAAAATTGGTAGAGTCAAGTAACTTTTGTCTTCTCAACTCTTGAAAGAATGAGTGAAAGAAAGAACTTCAATTCTCTTAGTTATTTAGCAAAAGAGCTCTGTAGTTGTTCGAAGACTCTTTGAAGAGACGTAGTGATAGACAACATTTGAGAAATCCTCACCAATAGTGATTGGTTATACTGAAAGTAAATTATCCATTTTATTTTTTAACAAAATATTAATCGAAACTGAAAGTGATGTGAACCTACTAAGCAAAAGAGAAATTAGTGGGCAAATCTTGTAGAGGAAAGACCTCAAAAGCTTTAAAGTTTGCAAGATGATGCTTATTAAGGCTCCAACAAGCATCCATCCAGCTTAAGCGACGCGAGACGTTTGAGAGACTAGTGCGCAATAAGGAAGGTCTTTTCTTTTATCTAAGAGATTCGTAGAATTTAGTGAAGATCAGTATAGCTCGATCGACCCCACAGTAGAGTTAGAGTTACTGGTGAGTCGAAGAAGCGTTAGCAGATTGATGTTCTACTACTCAATAATAGTGACAGAGAGTAGTTGGGAGCCGAGAGGCACATTGCAGCTGAAGTAGAAGATTGAAGATATAGCAAAGGCGAGGAGAAATAACGTCTGTAAAGGCTTCGACGAGGATGTTGAAGGTATAAATGAGGGAGAATGTCATGGACAACTCTATGCACAAGGTGTTCGTTGTAATATTTTTGTGTGTTTGTGCCTTTTGATTTTGTTCATGCTTTGCATTGTATGTATAAGGCTTGCAGTAGGATTGGTAGCCTTATTTCGGTTGACTTTTATGGTCATTTCAGTCATGTACACGCAGGTTGTGTGCGATCGCCGCTCAAAGACAAAACTATCCAAAAATAAGCCATCTAGACAACCGTTTTTGGTATTTTTGGCTTTGCAGAGTGGTGTGAAGTATCAACCGGTACAACAACCTCGAGTTACCCGGGTGGCACATGGCTGGATGGGCTTTTGAGGTATTGTCTAAGTTTGATTCGCTGTCTTGTTCCACAATAGTGTTATGTGAGCAAATGTGGGACTTTTGGTCGCGGCGGACCTCCTTGTGCCCTTTATCTGGTAATCGTTTAGAGGTTGTGAAGTCTATGTTTATAATTTGCATTGCATATCAAGTGTTTTCTGAAATATCTGCTTGTGTGATCCCGAGTATAGTGCTTCTTCTAACCCGTCTTCTCTTTTGCAAGTCCTTAAGGGATCCTAAGAGGTTAAGGGGAGATTGGTCCTTTGCGGATAGATACACAAGGGTACTATATGATTTAGGCAAATCCAGTTATGTTTGTAATAGTAAGTGAATAAAATCCAGTTAGGAACATTTTAGATGTTAAATAGTTAGGAATATCTATATTCCTCTTATGAATTTGTCTCGTGCAACTTGATATAATTTAATAGATTATCTAACTGGTGTATTTTTTTGCACAAAATATCCAAATTTAAAGGAAATTCACCTATTTCTTTTCTGTTTTGAATAAGTTTAAGGTACTGAAGTATTCACCATTTACATTTTGTGCATTCTGGTTTGTTCATTCCTAATAGTTAATATTTTTGAAGTTAATAGGTTTTAGTTTTGAACATCTATTGTTGTTTACTTCAAAATCAGGAAGCAGTGCGTGCACAAGTTTACCGTGTTTGATTTCCTAAAAGATCTAGTGAGCAACGTTCCAGATGTTGGTGGTTCTGATGCAGATCCTGATGATAAAGCCAGCAAGAAAAGGTTCTCAGACGTAGATATACAATTAGTGTTCCATGTTCTGTGCTTTTGTAGAATATTCTGATAACTGGTGTCACAATTAATTCAGGAAAGCTGCAGACGAAGACAATTACAGTGAAGAGGAGACAAAGAGGAGCAACAATGTGAGTCTACTTGTCCACTGCTATCGAATGACCTCCATGGGTTGCCTCTCCATTTATGGTTTCTTCCATATTCATCAGATAGCCATTTCTTTTATTTAACTTCATCAAAACTTTGAACTTCATATAGTAAATTCAGCTATTCTTATAATATATCTTTATTGATTTGGGTTCTGTGATTCCGATGGTGTAAGAACGTTGCTATCTCGCAACGTGGTTTTCATGAGAAGTGGTATTTATTGCTGATAAAAGGCTTTTCATGAAAGCAGGAAGCCTGTCGCAGCAGCAGCAGCAGCAGCGGCAGCCGCAGCCGAAGGGGCCAAGGGAGGAGGTGTCGTGGAAAAGGGCGTGGTTCTCTTGTCGTCGATGGAGTCGAGAAGGGCAGTGTTGACTTTAACATATACGAAGATGATCCTGGCACTCAACATGATGACGAACTCACTCACAGTGAAACTGATCGAGATATGGCAACAGCATCTGAAGAAAATTGTGTTACCAGTAGCAGCGTGCGTGCCACTGTTGGGAACTTTGACTTGAACTTGGATTTCAATGACATTGAGGAGATAGCACCAGCCTCAGCTACAACCGCAGCAGCTATGGCAACAATCTTTAAGGTAAATGGTGATCTAACAGATGACTATCTGGGTTCGTCAATTTCCAATATGGATAAGATTACCATTGATCCTGTTCAGTTTGCATTATTACACCGAGATTAGATGAAGAGGAAGAGGATTATGAGATTGTACAAGGATGACCATTTTGCGTTTGTCTTTTTGGCTTATAGGTAAGATTTACAGTTAGATCTGACTCCTAGCGTAGTGTTGCCAAATATTTCTACATCTTCTTGGGTGATCAAACTTTTCAAAATGACAGGATGATAGACATTATGTAGTTGGTATATGCCATCACAGCAGCTAAGGAAATATCCAATTGTGATGTGAGCAAGTTCCCGAGTTGCAACATTGTGCCACATTCAAATTGGTTGAATCAGTTGGCATCTTGTGCTGGTCTCGCCAAAGATGTTGCATATGTTGGATCTTTTCTAGTGTCAGTTCACGGATCTTGTTATACTTAATCCTGTTATACTTAACTTCCGTCATGATCCTGGCTGGTGAATGCCATTACAAGTCTGAGATTGCTATGTAAATGTGCGGGTTTGTACTCCGTGTAAAGGAGCTTCCGCAAGCTCCATCTCTTGATTACACTCACAACACTACCTATCTACGCTAAGATGGACTTGTTTTGCCCCCATGCTGACACACACATTTGTTATTTATTAGTTTATAGGTATAGGAAAAAAAATAGTAATGCATGCAAAACATATGAACAGGAAGTCTTTTTATGATGTTGATGATTTAGGGTTGGTGTGGGTATCTTTTATCTGATGGCCTTGCCGATTCCTGATGACTAAATTTAATAGGACCTTTTTTGTTTTTTGTTTTTAATGTTATCCTAAGCCCTGTCTTCATTCAGGCAATCATCCCTAACACCGCCCATTATATACATATATATATATATATAGAGAGAGAGAGAGAGAGAGAGAGAGAGATTAAACGCTGTTTTTAGTCAATATATGGTCCACCTAATTGAAGATTCCATGATTGAAGGTTTGGTAGTGAGACTGAGCTGTTAGCCACCAAATCTGTTGTTCTCTTGTTCATATTCCACTTCTCATCTTCATCCTTCCAAGCTCACTATAAGTCTCATCTCCAGGATTCCAGTGGCGAGTGTGTGGCCTGGGAAAGTACCTATGATAACGCCCATGGAAGTCCAAGTGCGGAGCTCCACCGTCTTAGCTCTTGGCGACCCCAACACGGAGCCCCGCGAAGTGCCCCTCACCATCTTCGACCGTTTCGCCTGCGACATCCACATCGCCGTCCTCTACGCCTTCACCGCCCCCACCCCTTCCAACGCCGACATCGTAGAGGGGCTGTCGGAGACGTTGGCGCACTTCCCCATGCTCGCAGCCCAGCTCGGCCACGACTGCGGCGGCCGCCCGTGCCTCATGGTCGGCGGCGGCGGAGGCGGCGTGCTGGTGGTGGAAGCCACGGTGTCGTCGACCTTGGCCGAGCACATGCCGCTGGAGCCGTCGCCAGACCTCCTGCTGCTGCACCCCCGGACCGAGGACGCTGCCCACTTGCTCCTTGTCCAGCTCAACCGCTTCCGGTGCGGTGGGCTGGTGGTCGGATTGTCCGCCCATCACAAGGTGGCCGACGGCCAGTCCATGAGCGCCTTCTTGGTCGCGTGGGGGCAGGCCGTGCGTGGCATCCCCATCGATCCGCTTCCGCTATACGACCGGTCATGGCTGAAGCCTCGCGTCCCGCCGAGATGCGAGTTCCAGCACTGGGGCCTTGACTTCATGCCCATCACGCCCCGGGACGACGAGTTCGCCTCACACAACAACTTGGTCGAACCGAGCAGAATCACCAACATCCTGCTGCGCTACTCATCGGAGTTCATCACCGGGAAGCTCAAGGCCGAGACGAAGGCGAAGTACACCACCTTCGAGACCTTGCTCGCCCACGTGTGGAGGAAGATAACGGCGGCTCGCGGGCTCGAGGGCGGGGAGGAGACGACGATACGGGTCACGGTGAACGGCAGGCGCAGGTTGAAGCCGCCAGTGTCGGACCACTATTTCGGCAACCTGGTGCTGAACGCGTACCCGAGATCGACGGCGGAGATGCTGGCGCGAGGAGGGCTGGAGGAAGCGGCCAAGGTCGTGCACGAGGCTATCGCGAGGACCAGCGGAGACTACGTGCAGTCGATGGTGGACTTGGGGGACATGTACGGGGACGAGGAGCTGGTGCCGGTGTACGGCACGGAGGGGAATGTGCTGTCGCCGTTGGTGGACGCCGAGAGCTGGCTGAGGCTGCGGTTCGAGGACGTGGACTTCGGCGGGGGAGGGAAGCTGTGCGCCTTCCTGCCGACGTGGGTGGCATTGGAGGGGCTTGTGATCTTCATCCCGGTGGTGGGGGAGGGCGGTGGCGTCGACGTGATGGTGTCGCTGCTTCGTGAGCATGCCGAGGTACTCAAGCGCATCTCCCACTCCCTGCATTGAGACCAGACGACCTCTCCCCTCCTTGGTGCGTATGCTGACAGGGCTTCAATTTGGACTTGGGTCAAGAAATGTAGGGCCAATTGAAATGTCTCTCAAAGTTAATATTATAAATGAGCAACGCATGATCCCATCGACATCGGCTGCTCGGCATCGCCACCGAATGGAAGCCACAAAAAGTAATGTGGAGGAGTCGTCACGTTAGTAGCACTGCATCGCCATTCGGTGGCACGTTGACGTTGCCAGATGTCACGAGAGCCACCGACACTAACCAGCCACTTGTGACCACCAGACGACGGCGACGATGACTTCTTCTTCGTCGTCCGTTACTTTTGGAACGGCAGTGGGGGGAGGCCGTCACCTTGCGAGTTGAGTTGACTCGTTCGACGTGCCACCCAACTCCGCTAAGTGCCAAAGTAGGGATGCACAGAGTCGTCCACCCGACCTAACCGCTACCTCTTCTTCCACGGGGCAAAGACTTCCACTGCCCAACAATTATTGGTGGACGAAGCTGGAATCGCAGCGCAGCGACGTGATTTCTTGGACGTATCGGAGAAATCAAAGCAAAAGCCAATGGTGTTTCACGGTAACAGTGCGAAGAAGGAGATTCGAGTCGGCAAACACAGCGTATGACGTCAATATTAACGCTCGATGATATTTTTCGTGGTCGAAAAATCCTCAACAAAATTATTCACGACGAAATAACTTACAAATCCTGATTAATCGAAGAAGAACTTTGTGGGTTAGTATCTATTACATTATAAGAAGGTAATCTACTCCAAAATATATAATTCACATCAATCACAAGTAAAAACAAGGAAGGAATGTAATTTTAAAGAAGAGGAGTAAAGCAACGTTTCAAGCTCGAAGGTGAAAACGTTTCAACATCACAACCACGTCTCTCTGTCTGTCACATACATAATGCCTGCAAGTCATCCATTAGAAAATGTGTTCCACCGAAGCTTAATCGGAAGAAGAATACATGGATGGACAATGTCAAAAAGGGGGGTGTTGAACAAATGGCCCTTTGACCAGGTCCTCGTCAACGATGCACCAAACCTGGCTACCTGCTCCATGCGATGCTGTAACCTCATTTATGTACATATAATAATAATAATAATAATAATAATAATAATAATAATAATAATAATAATAATAATAATAATAATAATAATAATAATAATAATAATTGCTAATAAGTTTTCCTCGATGGCTACGGCATCCCGAGTCCAAGAAGAGCCGAGTACGATCTCGACTAGTATATTGGCCACCGGGCCCACCACACATCAAGCATCACGTGGGCCCCGAGATTCTTTCTTTCTTTCTCTTTCTTTCTTGGGCACCCCACAATTTTGTGTGTATTTTGAATTTTCTTTTTCACCGAAGATAAATTATAATTTTCATAATTTGATAAACTATTTACCATACAGGACAATTAGCACATTTGACTTTGTATTCATTTACAATGTTCTTAACTTACGATCGATTAAACATATTAGTTAAATTAAGTAATAAAGATAATAATATCTTCTTCTTTGTTTATCCTTTGAAAAGAAAATTATCATGAATTAGCTCATAATAATAATTATTATATATATATATTGTGTGATTATGTATTTATTTTTTTTATATTTAAAGTTATTCCATACTTTGTTTATTATTAAATTTTAAAATTGATGTTTAATTTAACATGAGTTAATCAAGGTTCTAAAAATATTTTGTAAAGATAAATATATTATCTTTAGATATGCAAAACAAAAAAAAACCCCTTATTATTTAGGAGACAAAGGAATAAACATCCTATTATTTTGTCTTCTTCTACTATTAATAGTCTTTAGTAGCACTCCACTGTTATGAATTCTTGCCTTGAACCAACATCGTCAACTCGGTTGATAGAAACCCTAACTTGAAAAATTGAATTGAATTGAATTGAATTGAATGATGAATTTTTATATCTAAAATAATAAAATTATAATTTGAGGATACAATTTTTGGTTGAGAATTCAAAACGCCTATTAAAATCTTCTACGATGAATTGTGATCATATGATTAAAACTCTTTAGCGTATGTCAAAAAGATTTAACCCCATTTGGGGTATGGATCCCTTGACATAAATACTATTATTACTCTGTGCGGCGGACACGACGACCACCTAAGAATGCAATTTTTAGGGTGCTCGTGTCGAGAAGTGTGCGCGTTAACCGCGTGTCGGTGTGAAATTATCACCAATATTTCACGACGCCGACAACGACTACTCCTCTCCCCAACGCATTTAGCTCTTCTACACCCACACTCCTTTTGTTATTGTCACTCTCCCTTCATCAATAAGTACCGGTCTTCCTCCTTCCTCACCTCCGCCCCACGCCACCCCCTCTTCTTCCTCCTCTCTCTCTCTCTCTCTCTCTCTCTCTTTCTCAGATCCAACCCACCTTCTCTCTCATATCAATCCCCGTTCTCCCCATCTCCTACGCGTTTCCCTCTCCTCTCCTCTCCTCTCCAGATCTGTATCGAAGGAGGATAACTGAGCAGAGGAGGAGGAGAAGGGGGAGAGCATCGTTTTTGTCGGCATCATGGGTCGGGAGGGCAGCGGCGGCGGCGGAGGGGCGGTGTCGGAGGGGGTTCTGAAGAAGGTGCTGCTGTCCTACGCCTATGTCGCGATCTGGATCTTCCTCAGCTTCACGGTGATCGTGTACAACAAGTACATCTTGGATCCCAAGATGTATGGCTGGCCCTTCCCCATCAGCCTCACCATGATCCACATGGCCTTCTGCTCCACCCTCGCCATCCTCCTCGTCCGCGTGCTCCGCCTCGTCGACCCGCCCTCGTCGCCGCCCATGACCCGCGCCCTCTACCTCTCCTCCGTCGTCCCCATCGGCGCCCTCTACTCCCTCTCCCTCTGGTTCTCCAACTCCGCCTACATCTACCTCTCCGTCTCCTTCATCCAGATGCTCAAGGCCCTCATGCCCGTCGCCGTCTATTCCATCGGCATCCTCTTCAAGAAGGAGTCTTTCCGCACCTCCTCCATGCTCAACATGCTCTCCATCTCTTTTGGCGTCGCCATCGCCGCCTACGGCGAGGCCCGCTTCAACGGCACTGGCGTCGGCCTTCAGCTCGGCGCCGTCGCCTTCGAGGCCACCCGCCTCGTCCTCATCCAGATCCTCCTCACCTCCAAGGGCATCTCCCTCAATCCCATCACCTCCCTTTACTACGTCGCCCCCTGCTGCCTCGCCTTCCTCCTCGTCCCCTGGTCCGTCGTCGAGCTCCCCATTCTCCGCGCCCGCTCCGCCTCCTCCCTCCGCCCTGACCTACTCATCTTCGGCACCAACTCCCTCTGTGCCTTCGCCCTCAACCTCGCCGTCTTCCTCCTCGTCGGCAAGACCTCCGCCCTCACCATGAACGTCGCCGGCGTCGTCAAGGACTGGCTCCTCATCGCCTTCTCCTGGTCCGTCATCCGTGACACCGTCACCGCGATCAACCTCTTCGGTTACGCCATTGCCTTCCTCGGCGTCGCCTACTACAACCACGTCAAGCTACAGGCGCTCAAGGCCAAGGAGGCGCAGAAGAAGGCCGCCCAGGCCGACGACGAGGCAGGGAAGCTCCTCGATCAAGTCGACGGCTCGGGTGGCGACCGCAAGGGTGACTCGCAGGCTTGATCCATCCGTCCACCCCTCTGCGTTCTGCCACGATTTCATCGGTTCGTCTTTAGCATTTCTGATGGATCTCTTCATTCGTTAGCTATTTTATCTTTAGCAGTACATTTCTACATCAAGAAGGAGGAGGTTTGACGGAGCAAATACCAAAATGAAAAAAAAAAGTAAAAATGGAACTTTTATTGTCTTCCTTTCTTTGTTTGATCCTATAGTTGTCTTGGGGTTGGATTCTGTTTTTGAGCACACGGTGCATCAGATCCGGAAATGCTTATGGTAGATCACCTGGGTCAGATCTGAGAAGAGGAAGCTGGAAGGATTTTAGTGGCAGTTCTTGCTGTGGGTGGAGGACTGTGGATGGATCACACTAGGTTGGCTTGTTTGTTACTTGGATCACTGTTAGCTGTCTATCCTCTTGTCAAAGAGGGATGATTGTTGTTATTTATTTGTTGGATCATGTAGGAGCTTTCTTTTGCCTCCTCCCTAATGAGATTGAAAGTGCTATTTAATTTAGTATGTCTGGTATATTATGTCCTTCATTCGTGTGGTTTCATTGCATTTGCTATTTTCCTATGGAACCTTCGGATGCATGTTGAACCCATTTCACATGATGCAAACTCTATGCCTGATGATCTCACATATTTGTGTTAATGCTCTGTTTTGTTGCATGTTGTGCTAACATTTAATTTTATTTTTCATATGATTGAAGAAGTTGTTATGTGTGTCCATGTGTTGAAGAATTTGATGTTTGAAGTTTGATCTTTGTGGATGATGTTTCTTGTTTTATGAGATTAGATATTGCATTGGGAATCTTCTGTTTTGTGCATGCATCATTGCTTTTAGAGTTGTGTTATTGTGAGAATTTATGCATATCTATGTAGTTAGCAAGTTGCTTAGTTGCATTGAGGTTAACAAAGAAGACATGGTTTTCTGTAATTTACTCTATTACTTTCAAGAATCACTGTAATTTGTGATATCTATATGTCAAGTGTTTTTCTTTATACGAAATACTAAAGGAGGATTCTTGAAACCAGAAAAATGACAAGATCAGCCAAAAGGTATTACCAATGAATGCACATAAGAGGAACTTAGTGTTTGACCAGGAGACGAGAATTAAGACATGTTTGGTACATTTGAGGACTGGGTATTTAGGTGCGACGGAAAAACTGGCAGAAAGATAAAGAATGTAGCTTAACATGAGATGCTTCATCATTTTGTCATTTGCATAATTTGGTAAATAATGGTGCTTTTAAGGATACCACCCTACATTGAGAGCGAGGATTATGAAGTATGATCCGACTTCTGGAGTCTGATGTGAATTCTGAAGAACATAGAGTGAGGATTATGCATTATTTCTGGAATCTGATGTAAAGAATATACAGGTCTCATGTGAGTTGTAAAATGTTAAAGATCAAAGTAAGCACCAACCTAGAATTGAGAGGAAGTCTGAAAAGAGTTTTGTACATTAATCTAGCAATGTTTTTTGTGTGTAGAGTTTTATTTGAAAGCAATTGAAGTAATGGCATTTTAGTGGATATGTAGTGTTTCATGATTTTGTTAGTAATGTAGTTTAGTAATGCTGCTTATTGGACTTATCAAATTTAAAGGAGGAAATCTAATGTGGCTTCTTAAACATTTGAAGGATTAAGATTGGGATTGAGAGAAGAAGGAAGGAAAGTGGGAATTATTAATTCAAAAATGGTTTTCCTCTGAAGCAATAATACCTTACCATGTTACTGGTGGACATGTTGTGTTTCATGATTTTGTAATTGTGTAATTTGGGAATGGTGCTGTGCTTAAATGACATACAGTTATTGAAGAGAGGAAGGGTCATATCCATTATTTCTTGAATCTGATGTGGGTTTAGAAGCACGTTTGGAGGATAAAAATTCACATTGGACTGTGATAGAGAGAAAAGACAGAAAAGAGACTCTTCTTTTACTAGATTTAACTGAAAAGATTGAAGTGCAAACTCAGCAAGGAAAGAACTCTACCTATTTATTTGAGTGCTTATAGTAGTGTGTTGTGTGTTTTTTGCAGCATTAGATGTGACTGAAGAAGTTAAAAGAGATCCATCCTAGTTTGCTTTGTTTATGTGTTTATGTGCTTTGTTCCTCCCTATGTTGGATGTTGGGGTGCATCTTTATTCAAGATGGCCCAGTCACTGGTGACAGAGGAGTCTAAATCTGAAGCTTTTTCTGATCACCCAACCAACCGTAGTAGTAAGTATCAACCCCACCTCAAACGATACGACAGTCTCACCTAAGCGTACAAGTTTATTAATTTATCATTATCACGCTAAATTATTTTTCATCTTAATCCTAACTTAAACGTCACCTTAGGTTTTTTACTTTGTGCCATGTGATTTAGGATTGAACTATTTTTAGATAAGTCGGGATCATAGGTTTTTTACTATTTTTTTAGTATATAGTTGTTATATATACTATACGGTAACAATCACATTAATATCATAAAATAGAAAAAAAAATAGTAATAATTTTCACCTCTTAATAATTCTCAATCAACTATAATCATAATTGGAGTAGTCTAATTAATTTGAACTAAATTCAATTCAATTAAGATCTAACAAAATTAATCTCAAATCTTTATAGTCGGAATCATCTTAAACTTGGTTTAATTTAGATTTCATTGATTTTAATTATGTCAAATAGATTTGAACTAGTCGAGTTAGTATGATATTACTCTAAACCGACTTAAACCGATCAAATCTATCTAATGTAATCGATCAACAAGCTCAAACTAATAAAAGGAAAGAAAATTAGACTACGTCGGATAGTGGTAGTTTAAACAAAACTGTCTTAATGAAACTAAATGTTATAGTATATATAACTACTATATACTAAAAAACTATTATGTAAATTATGAATATTAAATAATAATATATTAATTTTATAAATCTATGATGTGATAGAGGGAGCTCGGGGACAATCTATGCATGAGTTGAACGAGGAGGCTCGGGTGTTTGAGGTGTGATTGGCTATTGCGAGGGAGAAACGAGTTTCAATTAAGCCAATTGCAAAATAAGTGATCCCTATCAACATCTAGGTTCAAGAACACTTCCAACAAAATTAACATATGGGTTGGTGTTGTGACTAAAGGGGAGAGGCTAAGGTCATTAAATAACTACCAATATTACATAGGAGTTTAGGCCACGATAGAAGTGTTGAGCATCAAGAACATTGCTATTGGCTAAGTACCTTTAATTGAACACTCGTTGAGAGGGTCCACGGGATGATATTCTCATAAGGTAGAACTCTTCTTCTAACATCAAAATGATAATAAAATAGAAGTTATATATACTATACGGTAACAATCATATTAATATCATAAAATAGAAAAAAAAATAGTAATAATTTTCGTCTATTAATAATTCTCAATCAACTATAATCATAATTAGAGTAGTCTAATTACTTTGAACTAAACTTAATTTAATTAGGACTTACTAAAATTAATCTCAAATCCTTATAGAACTTATATGGAATCATTCTAAACTGGTCTAATTTGGATTTCATTTATTTCAATTAGGTCAAGTAGATTTGACCTAGTCAAGTTAGTCTGATGTCACTCTAAACCGACTTGAACTGATTAAATCTATCTGATTTAATTAATCAACGAGCTCAAACTAATAAAAGGAGAGAAATTTAGACTATGTCGGATAGTGTTAGCTTAAACAAAACCAACCCACCTAAGTCTTGGATGGGTCATGTGCGTCACATATGCTTGTCCAATGTAGCAAGTTAGGTTGATGTTCGATGAGCTAAATAAAGAGACGACCATATGTCTAATGTCAGTCGCATAACTAGGCGAGCCTAGCTTCGCTAGCAAAGTTAATCTCACTCACAAGTTGGCTTAGCCTTACCATTAAACTAGGCTACGCTAGCTTGCGGGTTGGGTTGTGCCTAGATACATGAGTTGGGTCATGCTTGACCACATGGATTGGATTGTACTTGACTGCTTGGGTTAGACTATGCTTGGTCACATGCATTAGGTCATACATCATCACATGAGTTGGCTTTTACCTGGTCACATGTGTTGGGTCATACGTGGTCACATGGGCCGGATTATGTCTAGCCACATGGGTTGGATTGTACATTATCACATGAGCTCGGTTGCCCAAGTCTTGCAAATCAACTTGACTCAGGTCAGACGATAATAAGTGTCGAGATTTGGGTAGCGATTTGAGGAGCATCTTCGTAGCCCATACCGTATAGATCGTCATTAGAGAGGAGGACGTTTGACCTCCATCATCCTCTCCCATAGATCTATAAGAATTCAGGGATATATGATCTCCCTAGGTAATACAATTATCTCACATATGATTTTCAGTTTCGTAAGTTTTTAAGTACCAATCTTCACACGATAATGAACATATTTTGGAAATTTTGATAATTTTATTTTACGTTCTTCTGCTGCGCATATGATGTCGCCCCTAATTTTTTCTACATAATATGTTATAAAGTTTATTAATTTATTATTAACCAAGTTCAATTACTATTCACTTATAACTCTACTTTTCATCTCAGTCCTAACTTGAGCATTAGAGGGATCGATCGGGCACCCCACCTGAGTATAATCTTTTTGCATGTTGACTTCTCGACAAATACCAGAGCCATCTTATCTATTATTTTTTAGACCCTTATGCACGTGACCTAAGATCGAGTCAGGCTAATAAAGATGTCATCAATAATTGCTCCATCAAGATTTATATTTGTAGAGTTGATAACATTGAGGCTAGTTCTTTATAATTTTGAGAAAAGCTCCCTTATATTTGGAATGACAAACTCGATTAAGACCTTTTTTTTTAATCTACTATTGTTAGATGAAACCCTAATATAATCATGGATACTTAGTAAATTGGGTGACTTTCTTGATTTTTTTTTGTTTGTTCCTAAAATGTGTTTGTTGTTTTTATTTTTTTCATATAGTACATTTATTTTTTATAATCATATAAATATTTTTATCTTTTCTCATTCAGTGCCTTTGTTCTATTGTAAGGTCCCATCGCCTCTACCCCAACACGAGACCCATTGCCTTTGTACGAAATCATCTTCCTTTCTTTGTCGTTGCCTCCACCCCTTGCTCCCACCATGAGGCTCTGCTTGTCGCCTTCACCCCTTACTCCCATGATGAGACCCACTTGTCCTTCATCACTTGTTGCATTCGTCACCTCGCTCATGACTCTCACATGAGGCTTTGCTCGTCACTTTCGCCTCCTCTACCCCTTGATCCCACCGTGATACCCTATCTCTTTTATGCAACGTTGCCCTCCCTTCTTTACCCACTACTAACATCACCTCTATCCCCTTAGCTCCCAATGCCACCTATCACTTGCTATTAATACCACATTCGCTTATGCTCCAAGGGGTATTTATGAAATTATAAAAATATAAATATTTTTAAAGAAAAACGAAAAAAAATACCTTATAAGAAAAAACAAAAAAGGAAGACCTTTTTCAATAAAATTGCCTTGTAAATTTATATAGTTGATTCGAAAGCAAAATAATTCATCAACTATAGGGACAAATACATGTAGCTCAAGAGAATTCAATCTAAGGGCTAACTTGGGATCCAATAACATTATCGGATCGGGTTTATTAATTGATTCAGATCCGAAGTTGATCCGAAATGTCATGATTGGATCCTTGTTTCGGATCCATAAAACTATCGGGTGGTTCCTACGCGTGATCGCGGTGTATCAGACCCCATAAAATCCCTACTGGCGAGCCGAGCCCTTTCTTGGAGTCGAAGCAGGTTTGCCTTTCTCTCCACCCCCCCCCCGCCCCCCCCCCCCGCCCACCCCCCCCTCCTCCCCGATTCGTTCTCCGTCTCTCCTCCTCGAAAGAGTTGTCTTTGGTGCAATCGAGGTATTGTATCAATCGTTTCTCCAACCTATTATGATGGATCGTTCTCCTCTTATCTGTTGTCAGTAAGGGCTTTGTTTGGGGTACGATCATCCCCTTCAGTCTGTCCGTGGTTTAGGGTTTGTTGAGTTTAGATTCTCTCGTTTCTTGGTAACTTGATGACTCTGTTCAAACTTTGCGAATCTGATTGTCTTATGTTGTAAGACTCACAATATCTTTGATTTTAGTTTTTGGATTGGCATCGTTAAGATCATTCGGTTCTGGAATAAACTTTTGTTTCTTTAAATCTACATTGTGCGGTGTATAAATACATTTAGTGATTTTTAGCGTCCGTTGTACGAAATCTACATTCTTTTTGGCTTGTTAATGATGTCTTTGTAGGAGACTAAAGAAATTGAAATCTAGTAGTAGGAGACGTCCAACAAGTACATATGATTGCCAACAAATGCATGCTCACACCCACACACAACTTGCTCCACGAGTACACTGTCTCTCTTGAAAATTACATTTATGTTCCTCTCCATCTTTATCCATTTTTATCCGGAAACTGATTTTGTGCTGTAATTATCCTTAGCATGGCTTCTTATAATTTGATGTTGGTATGTGCATTATATCTGCTTAATGAAGGAGAGTTAAATATAATTTTCTCGAAAGCTAATCAACATCCTTTTGCTTTCAACTGCAAATAAATTTCTTAATATTTTTTATTTCCTATGCAACAGTATATGGCAGATTAATGGTATGGATTATAATACCCTAATCACCCATCAAGCACTCCAGTGCTGAAAAGAGAGAAACAAAGAAAGAAAGAGAGTAGAAATGGATTACCCAAAATTGTAGATTCCTATATGTCACTCTGATTGTCTCTTTCTAGTAGCTTAGACTTAAGTATCATCGGTATGTAACTGGGCTTGTTGGTTGCAAGCGATTAGGCTGAGGTTAATCGGGCAATGAAAACAGTATTAAGGTAACTTCCGTTAGACCTATGCATGTAATCTCATATATTGCGGGTCAAGTTTAAGGTGATGATCCTCAATCTGATGAGTGGGGTATGACCAGTGGAGATATGGTCGATAAGGTGGTATGTGAACATTTGAGTTTATTTTCACACTGAATAGCTAATGAGATCCAGGTTGAGTTAGAGGTTTAAATTAGATTTTGTTAGTATAAGGTTTAGGTTCCAGTGTTTCATGTATATTTGGAGTTTTTTTTATATTAATTTTGTGGGTCCATTCAGGTTCAGGTTTAGTTTTGCTTAGAGTTAGATTTAAGTTGGTATAGATTGATGTAACTAATAAGTATGTGTTTTCTTAGGTCATAAGAGCTTAGCTTATCTTAGTTCTGCCTCATAGTTATTTGGTGATTCAGTTTGGCTGTTAATCCCTCTTTCCTTTCGTAGTCCTCTCTTTGTTACTGTGCCCATCCTCTTATCAAATCTCTTGCTAAAATAATTGTTAAAGATGAGAAATATCAAAGATGAAAATGGCTTGAGGAACAAGATGTGCTCTGATATGATCCAAGTATTCTAGAAAAGAGAAGAGGCTTCATTTTTATAGATGGTAGAAGGAGGATTGGAGTTGTGGATCTTATAAAGAAGAGGGACTCATTAGAATAATGAAAGGAATCACCGTTTTATTGGGCTTGTACAGTTCAGTCCATGTTGTCAAACAAAATTCATATAAGTTATATGCATATGTAAATTCTACTTGTCAAACATTTACTGAGTGATATCCCAGGATTACAAGAATATTTGTTATTCATGCATAGTTTATTTACTTCATTTGGCTATAATCTTTGGATCTGGGTTGCTCCTTGAACTTTACAACTATGTTTGTCTTCCAAACATCTTAAATTTCCTTCTTGGATTTGTTTCATTGCAAATGCTTGATAACCATTTGTCTATAAGCTTAAATTCTTATATAGTAGTGTTCTGATTCAAAATTTTCTTTTTTGGTTATTCCAATTCTCTGAATTCCTGAAACATGTATAGGTGATTTGGCTGTTAGTAGTATATGTTGGTAATCACCATTGTGCTAGTCTTCTAACACATCTGCAGATCCTGATCCTTTCATATATTTGCAAAAGGTGATAGACAAGATTTCATTTTGTGCTTCAATTCCCATTGTTATTTCTTTAGTCTGAAAATTTTTTATGAACATTTGGAGGACAAGCATAAATTCCCTAATTATATGTATTATTTTCTTCTTATGCATAATGAAAGGTCTCCTTGTTATACTGTCATTCTATATCTCTTTGCCTGATTCAGTTTGTGTATAATCTGTGTCATGGAGTAGTTATAAACCTATGCTCGTTTGCATAAATCAAAGCGATCAATTTGCTTACCTTGTGTTAGTAATTCTCAAGGATGTCTCGCCGCTACGATAGCCGGACAACAATTTTCTCTCCTGAAGGTCGTCTCTACCAAGTGGAGTATGCCATGGAGGCCATTGGCAATGCTGGGGCAGCCATCGGCATCCTAGCACGTGATGGTGTTATCCTTGTTGGTGAGAAGAAGGTCACCTCCAAACTCCTCCAGACATCTCGGTCAACTGAAAAGATGTACAAGATCGATGACCACCTCGCCTGCGCTGTTGCTGGCATCATGTCTGATGCAAACATCCTGATCAACACTGCCCGGGTCCAGGCCCAGCGCTACACCTTCGCCTACCAGGAACCTATGCCTATCGAGCAGCTGGTTCAATCGCTCTGTGACACTAAACAGGGCTACACCCAGTTCGGTGGTCTCCGTCCTTTTGGGGTCTCCTTCCTTTTTGCAGGATGGGACAAAAACTACGGATTCCAGCTGTACATGAGTGATCCTAGTGGTAATTACAGCGGTTGGAAGGCAGCGGCAATTGGTGCCAACCACCAGGCAGCACAATCGATGCTGAAGCAAGACTACAAGGATGATATCACAAGGGAGGAAGCAGTGCAACTTGCTCTAAAGGTGCTGAGCAAGACCATGGACAGCACAAGCCTTACATCCGAGAAGCTTGAACTGGCCGAGATTTTTCTTGAGCCTTCTGGGGATGTGAAGTATGAGGTCTGCAAGCCAGAGTTACTGGAGAAGTTGCTGGTGAAGCATGGGGTGACTCAAGCCACCACAGAGTCCAATTAAGTTTCGGGTCTCCTAAAGCATTTATGATGTGCTCTTGGATTGACGGCGCCCACTTTAAACAGTGTTTGGCTGGGGGGTTCAGAAATCGTGTGTGATGTTTGAACATTTCAATTTAGAACGAAAAATCTTATTTTGATGTATCAACTTTTCAGTTTAAAATTAATTGCTCCTTGGAAATTCATAGTGTGCTATGAAATATGTTGCTCTGTTTTGTCAATTCCTACATTTTGTGATTCAAAATCCATTGTTGTACTTGTTACATTGCTATGTGAACCATGCATCGTCTTGTGTGATGTGCCGACAGCTTAGATCAAAAGTACGGAATGATTTAAGAGGCACATGACTTTGCAAAATCGAAATTTAAGGTTGAGTTTTTCGTGATTGGAAAGATTTCTGTCACAAAGGACTGTAAGTTGATTGCTTTAAACGATCAATCGTGAATGGCATGGCATTGGGATAAATTGTGAGAAACATGGCATGTTGACAATACCAAACATTATGTTTTGGAGATCACAAACTTGTCAGCATGTTGACAATACCAAACATTATGTTTTGGTACTTCCACTATTATAATTCAACAACTATAAATATTTATTATAGGGAAGTATTTTGTTCGGACTTGGTATCTTCTTAAAACCTCTAATCTACTTACAATCATTATTATTGAACAGAATCCATTCTATTCAATTTTGTTTTCTAACTATATATTCGGATGAAATGAAATTTTCTTATGATTTTCAATTTATGATGGGAAAGTGTTTAATTTTTTTTATAAATATTTTTATGTATGATTTATGTGAAAATAATCTCATTAACACGACATCAAGACAAACTCATGAAAGCATCTTTTATCACATAAGCCTATCATAGATTATGATATTAAGATTTAAAATGATTTATTATATTATAAGTGTGATTGATGTTAAAGTTGGTATATGTTATTTTTTCATATGGCTATGGATAAAACTAACTAAACCTAACACTTTATGATATCGCTTTGCACTCTATTCAATATTCGAAGCATTCAAATTAGATCATATTGTATCTCTCGTGTCTTTGATCGGAGATTTACCTATAAAATAAACAAAGAAGGAGTGTTGGAGATTGATTGATAAATCCTTTATGATGCTAATGTCAGAGGGACATTATTGCATTATAATGTAAGTTTAAAAAGTTTAAAATAAAGAAAAATAGAGATATTCATATTAAAGTTTTTCCTATTTATCTTTTTTCATATATTCATCCCATTGCAATGGGAGGGTTTTCCTTTTATAAGAAAAAAAAGAGAGCCTCCATGATGGGTATTATAGAGGATATCCAAGTGAATAAAGAGGAGAAAGCTCTCGTGCCATAGATTGAGGATACTTGATCCTGTGAATTTACATAATCTTTACATGTGATAGCAATAAGACTTCTCGTGATAACAACCGCAACAACAGTCAAGATATCCCATGATAACAACCTCAATAATAGTCAAGATCTCTCTAACTACATGATAAGATATCATAAATCTTTTAAAGAAAATCCTCTTATGTTGAAGAAAATTTTTCCTTCTAAACATGTATAAATATGAAGTATTATGTATTGTTTTGATTAATACAATCTTCTTCTTTCTATTTCATTTCTATCAACATGGACTATACATATACACACACATATATATATATATATATATATATATATATATATATATATATATATATATATATATATATATATATATATATAGTAATTTTGTGAAGAAAAATAAAAATGATGAGCCATTTAAAATGAGAAAACAGTGGGTGTAGGTGTGGATGCATCATCCCTGTAGTCACTGGATTTAGACATCATCTCTACGTGTTTGTATTCCAAACAGAAATGGTATCGACTGAAAACTTTCCCAGCCACCTTTATTAATACCATTGTCTCATCAGAAGTTGCCTACGATCCCACCACTGCCTAATAAACAATCCTTATCACCACCAGATTACATCACCAAACACAGGGACTCATCACAATCTATATCACACATCACATGGATGATGGATGCATGATCATTATAGAAGAAGATGAATCAACTCTCCTTAGCCTTTGTAATGCCAACCATCTCACCTATGGATTCTCGGTGGCAACCACGTCTCGGTGCTCATACTACACGCAAATCTAGAAGCCGCAAACCATTCTTGGCTGTCAGTGGCCCTACGGAAACCACGATCCAAACTCGAGTTACATGGTGGATTCTGTGGAAGCATGCATGAAACATCCATCCCATGTACGTCCCGTGCCGTTCATGACCACGAGAACTCCACCACCCCAACTTTGAGTTAACGCTGCTCGCAGTCAAAATTTGAGGTCTGCTGTCCTAACGAAGCCTCCTACCCCAACCAGTGCACGACCAACACATTTGCGATTGGAATTTGGTCTCACGTATGGCTGTAAAGTCTCTAATCAAAAGCTACACTTCGTGGAAAATGGGAGTCAACAAAGAGAGGAGTGATGTCGTTTTCTTTGGTTTCCCCACTACGGTAGTGCTGGTGGTTTCGCATGGCGTCCAAATCAGGGGGTGATCAATGGTGGGATTCCTCCTCCTCCTGTTGACCCAACGAGTGCCCTATATATATGAACGAGAACGCCATGCATGCAGTCACAAGAAAGGTTTGGGTTTTGGAGAGAGGAAGAAGATGATCTCCAAGTCGAGTCTGTACCATGTGGTTGAGTCCATGGCGCCGCTGTACGTGGCCATGGGCCTCGGCTACGCGTCCGTCCGGTTCCGGGCATTCACGCCGGAGCAGTGCGCGGGAATCAACCACTTCGTCGCCCTCTTCGCCATGCCGCTGCTCATCTTCCGCATGATCTCCTCCAACGACCCCTACGCCATGAACCTGCGCTTCATCGCCGCCGACACCATCCAGAAGGCGGCCATCCTCGCGGCGCTCGCCCTGTGGGCGCGCCTCAGCGCCCGGGGCTCGCTCGCCTGGGTCGTCACCCTCTTCTCCCTCGCCACCCTGCCCAACACCATCATCATGGGCGTGCCCATCCTCCGCGGCATGTACGGCTCCATGTCCGGAACCCTCATGGTCCAGATCGTCGTCCTCCAGTTCGCCTTCTGGTACGTCCTCGTCGTGTTCCTGTTCGAGTACATGGCCGCGCAGCGCGCCCTGGTCGCCAAGCAGCAGCAGGCCGCCGCCCCCGCCGCCGTCGTCCTGACCGTCCTCGATGGCGACCAGCAGATCAACGCGTCCGCAGTCGTGCCGGTCACCGAGGGAGATCGCAATGCAGACACGAACACTGAAGCGGCAATGCCGCCACCTCCAGCAGAAGCAGAAGCAGCGATGGCTGCGCCATCGGCGAAGCTAATTCTACTGATGGCCGCGAAGAAGATCCTAAAGATTCCGAGCATACACGCAAGCATGCTCGGCCTCGTGTGGTCTTTCATCGCATACAGGTCTCGAAACAAACACTTGCTGCTTTCGTCTCCTCCATATATAGCGGTAACTCTTACTACGTCTTCTGCAACATATGGCAGGGAAGGCATCAAGCTGCCAACCATCATCGACGACTCAGTGGCGATCATCTCTGTCTCGGCAACAGGGTTGGCCACGTTCAGCGTAGGTAAGCATTCACTAGCATAAGCAATAATGCTTACGGAAGACCGTCATCGACCTATATAAAAGAATGATGAATCCACCCACGTATACCTACCTGCAGGTACTTTCATGGCACAACAAAGCCGGTTCATTTCATGTGGCTGTTCTGTTGCGAGCTTAGCCATGGCGATGAGGTTCCTGGTAGGACCTGCTGTCATGGCCGCTTCATCGCTCGCCGTAGGGCTGCATGGTGATCTCTTACATGTAGGGATTGTCCAGGTCAGTGATGTTCTTCTATAAGCAAGTTCTATTTTCCTTTTACTGAAGATTAAGCTGAGGGTTCCAAACCTTATATTCTATAAATTTATACTTAGTATGATGATATTTATATATAATTTACCTATGAGAAAATTTAGAAAAAAGAATTTTACAAGTTGTTTCCCTCTTTTTTATTTTTTTCTTGGATTTAATGGTTATGCCTATGGGGGGGGATGATCAGCTATTTCTTTCTTTTGACCTACATGTAGTCAGTCAATCCCACAAGAAAAAGAGAGGGAGGACTAAGTTATTAGTTTAATGCTTGGATTCTTAGTGGGATGCTTAATAGAGTCTCTCGTCTAGTCTAACTTGGTGTGTTGGATTCAACATCGCAGGCTGCTCTTCCTCTGGCTGTAATATCATTTGTTTATGCAAAAGAATATAATGTGCATCCGGAGATCATGAGCACAGGGTATGGACCCTTTTTTAACTTACTTCATGATATTGCATATATTCGATAGATTTACATGATCATCACTAATTAGTCAGTCTTTGATCGTATTGCAGGGTCATCGTTGGCACATTTGCATCTTTTCCCATCACAATCATCTATTACATATTACTAGGATTGTAGAAAGGTAAATACATAATATATAGATGAAACGAATGGCAGAATTCATATTGTAAAGAACGAAAGATTTGTCTAATTAGTTAACTTCATTATTTGCAGGTGAGGGAGTTTTCTGGTAGAAAGACTAGAGCATGATGATGATCATCCCCCATTGATTGATTACGCATGAAATGTTTCGTGAAGAAGAAGATTATTGTTTTTTTGTTTTTCTAAGAAGAAGATTTAGGGAAAAGAATTTTACAAAGGAAAGGAAATAATGGGTTATACAGATTATTGTTTGGTCATGAGAAAGAAATACTACACTTATCTGAATGAAAAAGGAATGTGTGATTGATTGTAACAAAAAAAAAAAAACCCACTGATGAACATCTAAGATAATAATACTAAACCCACTGATATATCATCAACAACACCAAGAACAATTATAGCTGAATTTTGGGTGAAATTAAGTTGAAATCAAGCGATTTGATGATGATGATGATCCATGCTGGACCTAAAGAGATGTTGTGGGATGAATTAAATCAACAACACCAAGAACAATTATTGGTCTTCAGTGATACTGATCATAATAAATAAATATTATTGGAGCAATGAATCTTCCATTACTATCTGCTGCTGCTGCAACTCTATTTTATGAAGCAGCAGCTTTCTACTGTCACCATCGCATGTCCAAATCAATCTTGCATCACCAGAAGTTGACTCTATGTATTATTGGTTTATGAAACCTTACGTGTCCAATGCTTCACATTAATAAACAAGACTAGTTGAATTAAAATCCAGAAAAAAAGTGCTTCTGAGTAATCTATAATCAGATCCACGTCCATCGTGTACATATATAATTTAAGCTTCCACCAATCCAAACACTAAAATCTTGCATGTATGTCATGATGGGTGCTTCATGTTAGGTATAGTCAGTAAAACGTTAATGAAAACTCTAATTTTATATTAATACCTTTTAGAAGCATTTATGATATAAAAAAAATATATTAGACATATTTTAGGCATTACATATTCTATACATTTATTTAACTTATATATATATATATATATATATATATATATTATATAACCACTTCTAAATATAATTACTATTAATACATTTAAGTTAAATAAATGTATAGAATATGTAATACCTAACTAAATATAATTAGTATTCATATGTATGCATATGAAAGAAAGAAAGAAAGAAAGGAAGAAAAGAAATTAGGACATGTATCTATGTGATGTTAAAATTTTGTCCGTGCAATCATTATTATTGAGTCTGAGAGAATAGATTTGTTGAAAACCGAGAATTATTCTATTCTCCTGCAACGTAAAAAAAAGAATAAGAATCATTGTGTTCTCCATTACTGTACTTGTCTCTGGCAAGAAGAGTACAACAAAAAGAGCTATCACATGTAATGTTGTTTATCTAATCATTAAGATTCTTCCTTTGGTTCATGGAAACAATGCTGATCACAACAGTCCCCTTGTCTTGGTGGTGGTGCAAACAACTCCGTATAGGATATGCAGATTTGCCCGACCAGAGTAATAGATCTATTATTGACTGCCTAACTCATAACGTTAGTGACTGCCCTTTATGATTTCCTTTTTTTGTTTTCGGCATAAGGAGATAGATTATGAGCTTATGAAACATCAACAGGTCAGTAAACCTCTCATTTTGAATTGCTGCACAAGCGAAAGCAGTAAATCCAACTCTCTCTCTCTCTAATCAAGCACTTATGCAACACCATATTACAACATTGCTGTAGACAAAGGGAGTCGCTACACGTATTTATGCCTTCACCTCTTTGGGCACTCAGCAACACTTCATCACCACCACTCTATAGAGGGAGGCATCGATTCAACCACTCCATTACAGCAGCAAAAAACAAATGTGGATATTACTCTTTCTTTATGTCTCTCTCTCTCTCTCTCTTCTAAGCAAGGAGATTACTTATTCTGTACATATAAGATTTCCACTGAATTGGCCTGATAGATGCTCTACTCCATCATCATATAATACAACATTATTCTTACAAGCTGTTTGATTCATGTTTCGGATTCAGGAACATGGCTAGGACGGAGACAGAGATCAAACCTTTTGATTCATGTTTCAGATGCTCCCAGCTGTTTGTTGAATTGACACGGCTTCAACGATCTCCAAGTTCTGCTCGGTCATCCCCATTTGGATCGATCTGGCAGTCCACCACCACCGGCACACAGCTTCCTTCCCAGTCGATCACCTCCACGCACTGGCCATTGCTGTCGCAGTGTACACCAGCAGGGCTGCACTTCTTGAGGAGGAGGGGGAAGCCGCCGCCCACTTCCGCGTCGATCTTCCCTCTGAGATCCGCCAGCAGGTCTCGCAGCCTGACCACCTCCGCCTCCAGCGCCGCCTGCCCCTGCAGCCGTCGCAGGAGTTGCTGATTCAGGAGGCGCAGCTTCTTGACTTCCTCCTCCAAGAAGGCGGCGTGGGCCTTCTTCTTCTCTCGGTACTTGCGCACCGCCTCCCTGTTCCCCAGCGGCCTGCGGCGGGACTTGTTCGGCTCCTCTTCGCCCGGCCCCTCCTCCTCGCCCGTCGCGAACACCTGGGTGTGGGTGTGGTAGCATGTGTGGGTGTGCGCGGCGGCGGCCGGGCCGGGGGGATTGCATGTGTGGGTGTGGGTGCATGTGGTGGTCCTTCGCAAGAACTCGTCGAAGCTCTGGGTCATTTCGGGGCTCGGCAGGAGCAAGTGGCTCGAGAGGTCCACTTCCCCGTCATCCATGCTTGCTGCAACCAGACAATTCCCCGGCAACACTCCAATCCTATATATGAATCAGGGAAACTCCGCTGCTGCAATCGGATCCGACTGAGATGATTTACTCAGGCCCGTCTACATGAATCCAAGAAGAACAGGCGCAGAAATCGAGCGAACAACAAAGATCGCACAGAACCCTAAATCAAGAAGACGACGATCCCCATTCCAGAAACACGAACGGAAAGACGGCACCTTTGATGCGAGATTGTAGTACCGACCCAAGGAGCCGAGGAAAAGCGACAAAATCCAACCGTGGCGCAGAAATCCAAAGGCCCGGTCGGGGCTTGGGGATCGGGAGCCGATATCAGGCGAAGGGAGACGACCTCCAAGCAGGCGCAGCTTTTCCACTCTATCCTTGGAGTTCTTTTTTGTCGGGGGGGGGGAGGGGAGAGGGGTGGCGCAGAGAATCTGGTAAAGAAAGGGCGAGAAACAAAGTGGTTTGAGGTTTCGATTTGATGGGAGTAGAAAACGAAAAGCAATCGACGCCACGATTCCCTTTCACTGCTTCCTTCCGTGGTGCCCTCTTTCTCATCCACGGATTGCAATAAAAATGCAAGCTTTTATATGATCTACGATCCAACGTGAATCCACGGCCTTCTATTTTGACTTGTTCCTCTAATCCAAATAACATTTCTTTGAGAAGAAAACAAAATCTAACCGGTGTTGTCTGTGTCGATGGGTTTAATTGACGACAATCGGAGGAAGGCAGGAAATTACGACTGAGCCCCACGCGAGTTCGGCAATGGAGAAAATAGTGGAGGGTGGGATGGTGATTGTGATGCTTCGCCGGAGTATGTTAATAGTTGCAGGGAGCTCGTGGCAAACACGAGCTAGCTAAAGGTTGAAGGCGCCCCAAAAAGGAAGCAGTTTTGGTCCACTGGGAGGAGAAAAGGGAGACAGCAGGGAAGAGAGACCGAGACGGAGGTCGTCGGAGAAAACGATGCTCGGCAAACATGGTGGACTGGGAGGGTTGAAGACCTGCAACGAAGGGATTGGATTCACTGAAACGTTCGCCCGTCTCGATGATCCAACGGTGGGCGAGTTGCTCTGGCGATGATGTTTTATGGTTTCGCACGAGGCGGTAATATTGGTAACTCTTGTGGGTAGGTGTTGTTTCCCACTGATACACCTGTCAAATACGACACCAAGTTATTATAAAAATTTAGTTAAATATTTAATATATTTGATATGTATTAGATTTGATATATTATTTGAAGTTGGTTTAATAAGTAGATACATGAAAGTTAGTAAGACATTTCATTTAAAGGTTGTTAAAAGAATTTTATGATATATTAAATGGATAATCAACTATGGCATATTCTATTTATTATCAAAAAGGTTGGAGCTCATTGAAAATAGTAACAGAGTACAACTATATATGTATTTTATTTCTGTGAAGTTACACTCATATAGTCTTTAAAAAAAAATCGTTACTATATCAATTTGTGAAGTAAAATATATAGCAACATTTTCTTGTGTTTGTCTTCCAATATGTCTAAGAAGACTAATCCAAGAACTTCATATACCGCAGAAGAAGTCAACCAAGATTTATATTGGTAACAAATTAGTTATTGTCTTAGCCAAGAATTCGGTTTACTATGAAAGATCGAAGTATATTAATATAAGATTTCATTTTATAAGAGATAATATAAAAAATAAAAAAAGTTATTTTATGTCAAGACGAGTGAATAAGTGATCGATATACTAAAAAAATATTTCAACAACTTTAAAAAAATTTTAGCATGTTAGATGGAACAAGTTTAGGGGGGGGGGGGGGGGGGAATGTTGAAATCAAACTTGTCAA